TGCCATTTGAAAAAAGCCCCTCAACTTCAACAGACTCCGAAAAAGCCAGCCTTCAGATTCACCTGGGGCTGTTTGGTACAAGACTTTCTTGTGGCAGAGGGGTGGCACTGCGGGACCCAGCTGGGTCCACCTGGGCAAGGTCCCGGGTTCACAGTGTGAGGGCTCCTGTGTGTGAGGGTATGCGTGTGCCGGCATAAACTGAATAGCTTGGATCTTGGCCCTGGTGGCCTGGATGCCCGGCACATGTGTGTGTGCGCCCAAATCTCAAGAGGATGGAGAAATGGAGGAGAAGGGACTGCGGCCTGACCACGCCCCACTGGGGAGTGCTTCCCCTCCCCCGCCCCCACCCCCTCCTCTCTGTCTCCACCTCTGGTGAGCACATGCACCCCTTTGGCAAATAAGTAATTTTTAAGGGACCAGCAGGTAGCGTGGAGGTTAAGGCACTGGATCCCACACGGCCTCCTTCAGTTAAGAGTCCCTGGCCCCCAGCAGTTAGCGTAATGGCTATGTCGCTGGACTCCCATGTAGTTGACTGCAGTTCGAGTCCCGGACCCGGTGGCTTAGACTCACGCCGGGCGCGTGTGTGTGCGTGCCCAAGATCCTGAGAGGAGAATGGAGGAGAAGGGACTGTGGCATGGCCATCCCCCCGGGGGGTGATTTCTTGCTTTCTATCTCTCTGTCTCTCTCTGTCTGTCTGGCGAGCGCACGCACCCTATAGCAAACACCTCTCCAAAAAAAAAAAAGAATATGAGTTCCTTTTGGTGCACAAAGTTTGGAAACCCAAGCAGAGTTTGTTCATCACATACATTTTTATTTTTTTAAGAGATTTTTGCAGGACCAGCACATGGCATGATGGTTGGGGCACTGGACTCCCACAGGGCCAACCATGGTTTGAGTTCCAGACCTGGCAGCTTGCTTTCTCACTCTCTGTCTCTCTCTGGTCAAATTGAAGAAGAATCTTAAATAAAATTTAATCATTCTTTTTTTTTTTTTTAAAAAATTTTTGTTATAGGGCATGTACCCTCACTGGAGAGACAAACAGAAAGCGAGAAATCACCCCCCAGGGGGAATGGCTATGCCACAATTCCTTCTCCTCCATTCTCCTCTCGGGATTTTGGGGCCTGTACACAACACGACTCTAAGCCCCCTAGTCTGGAACTCGAACCTCGGGCAACTACATGGGAGTCCAGCGACGTAACCACTACGCCACCTGCTGGTCCCCATGCATGCATCTTCTATGAACGTGCCGAAGACCCCGAGGACCTCTGCTCCTTCCCACTCCAGCCCTGATGCCCTGGACGTCCTGACAAGGCAGGCTGCCCAGGAGCCCCCACGCCCCGCGCACTCACTCCTGCAGGATCTTGCTGTCGGTGGTCTGGGGGTAGCCGAAGTCCATGAGCTCGTCCAGCAGCTCGTAGATGATGACAAAGTTGTCGCGGATGCTCTCCTCCTCCAGCTCCTTGAAGTACTCAGAGAACACCTGGGCGTGCGCGTGCGCGTGGGCGGCGGTGGAGTGATGGGGGGCCAGGCAGGCAGGCCGACGGGAGGAATGGACGAGGGGTAAATGAACATGTGCCCGGATTCACTTGCCCTCTCCGCCCCGAGGCCCAGAGCCAACCCCCGTGGCCATGTCCCAGGCTCGGTGACAGGAGAACGCAGCGGCTGGCTGAGAGGGGGCAGCCAGGCGGAGGCTGGTCCAGTTGTCTGCAGAGCCCTGGTCAGGAGTCCCAAGTCCTAAGTCCTGATCCTGCCAGACAGACAGTCCCGGCCTATGGACCCAAGTGTCTCTTTTTATAAAAGTTTATTTCTTGGGGGCCGGCAGATGGCGTGGTGGTTAAATGCTGACAATCTCACATGGTTGACCACGGTTCGAGTCCCGGACCTGGCGGCTTGCTTTCTCACTTTCCTTCTATTTTTCTCTCTGTATCTCTCTGTTCAAATTAAAAAGTGGTGGTTAAGGGGGCTGGACTCCCATATGGCTAACTGCGGTTCTAGTCCAGGACCTGGCAGCTTGCTTTCCCACTCTCTCTCTAGTTAAATGAAAATACATAAATAAATAAAATAAAGTTAAATAAAATAATCTTTCAAAAACAGTGATAACAATAATAAATTAAATGATTAAAAAGATAAAAAAAAGTTTATTTCTTAGGGCCAGCAGGTGGCGGAGTGATTAAGGTGCTGGACTCCCATGTGGCCGACTGTGGTTCGAGCCCCAGACCTGGCAGCTTGAAAATTACACCAGGCGCGTGTGTGTGGGTGCCCAAAATCCCAGGAGAAGGGATGGCGCTGTGGTCATTCCCCAGGGGGTGATTTCTCTTACGCTGTTTTGCACGCACCCTTTGGCAAAAAACTTTAAAAAATGACAGGAATAGAGAGACAGAGAGACCAGCACCCTCAGCAGGGCCTCCTGCCATGATGCACCCGCACCCAGCCAGCCGGGATGTGTACACAGGCCTGGAACCGTGGTTCACCGCAAAGCCCAGCCCGACCTTCTGCCTGGATCCAGCTTCCCTGAACCCAGGCCACCGAGGGTCCCTGAGCACGGCTGTAATCCCGGCTGTCGCTGTCACTGCTCTGGAGTCAGGAGTGACTCAGATGAGTGGCAGAGCCACCGCTGGCCTCCCTGGATTGCCATCCAGCTGACACGCAGGTCTGTGCGTCTTCCCCACTTCCCTGGGAAGTCAGAGAACGGCACGGGACGTGGCCTTGGGACGGGCCTCCCGTCAGCACCAACACCGAGGGGGAGAGGTTGGCAGGGCAGAGGGGATGCCAACGGACCGGGCCGCATCCTCCCTGCAGCCCACTCTGATCTGCTGACGTGCCTGCACGTGACAAGACCACATTGCTCTGGCCTTGTCTCAGGAATCACAAGCAGCCGGGGTCAGCAGATGGCACAGCAGTTACGTCACAGGACTCCCACATGGCCGATAGCAGTTCGAGTCCTGGACCTGGTGGCTTGAAACTCACACTGGGCACGTATGTGTGAGTAGCCAAAATCTTGAGAAAGAATGGAGGAGAAAGGATTGTGGCATGGCCACCCTCCTGGTGGGGGATGATTTCTCACTTTCCCTCTGTCTCTGTCACTCCCCCCCTCAGGGAGTCCATATGCCCTAAGACAAAAACTTTTTAAATTATTTTATTCAATTTCATTTATTCATTTGTTTATTTTAATTTGACCAGAGAGACATAGAGAGAGGAAAGTGAGAAAGCAAGCCACCAGGTCCGGGACTCGAACCATGGTCGACCATGTGGGAGCGTCAAGCGCCTTAACCACCATGCCACCTGCCAGACCTCAGACAAAAACTTCTTTTAAAAATTTTAAAAAGAAAAGAAACCGTAGGCTGTGCTGTCTGCTTACAACTGTTCTTCGACCCCAGGGCAAAGGCCATGCCTCCGCCTCTCCCCACCCTTTGGTCTACACTGGGGCTCCTCTGAAGGGCGAAAGATTTCCTGGGTGCTTTCCGCCTCAGCCAAGCCCCATCGCTCCTCATCGGAGGCCTGCTTGGGCCTTCTCGGGGGCGTCCTGCTGCCTTCAAGTCCGTCCTCCACTGGGCAGCCAGAGAGGCACCCCAAATCAATCCGGGTGTCAGACCCCTGCTTAAAGCCCTCCACTGCGTCCCCAGTCCTGGCGTCAGTTCCACACCCTGCACAGCTCCCGACTCCCCACTGCGGTCCAGCCCCATCCACCTCAACCTCAGCCCCACTGTGCCGGCACGCTGGCCTCCCTGCCGTGCCACGCACACTCCTGCCCCAGGGCCTTTGCACAGGCTGCTCCGGCTCCCCACCTCACAGGGCCTGGTGCGTCAGCTCTCTCCAAGGGGGGCCTCTGCCACCTGCACCGTGAGAGCCCCTGAGGAGGTTCTGAGCTGAGCCTGGCTCCATCCCACCTCCCATCCATGAAAACCATTACCGATCTCCCCAACCCCTGCCACATCTGCTGGGGGTCTTACCTGTCCCCCCGAGATGGGGCCCTCCCCTGCCCTGAGCCTCATCCCCTCCTGTTTAACTTCCTTTCCTCCCCAGGGTAGGCAAGCCACGAAGTCCACAGATTTTTACACTCCCTCCCCCCCCGAGGGTAGGAAAGCCACGAAGTCCACAGAATCCCAGAGGTAGGGCCCTCTCCTACTCCTTGGGGGGCCCGTGAGCAGAGCCGTGCCCGCCCCTCCCCACCACGCCCCTCCCCGCGAGCCTCACCTGCACCACCTTGTACAGGAAGGAGAACACCAGCAACA